CTCGCACGCCCCTCGGTCAGGCGCCCCTCCAAACGGAGCCTCAGACAGACTGTCCGCTCCGAGGAGGCACGTGGAAAACTTGCCAAACACTGCGGAGCGTGTGTGGACACCAGGCCCTCCCTTGTGTCATGGGTGACTGTGGTCCCTCGGTTTCTATTTATCACGCGAGTGCGCGCGGAGGCCAGACTGCTGCATTCACTCGGTAACACAAGCTTCTTTACGCCAAATACACCCCTTGCCGCTGTTGAACCGCCGTGTGGCTGCTGGGGGGATTCTAGGCCGGGGTCCCATGGTCGCCTTGGTCTTTTTGGGTTTTTTTTGTCCTCACCAGAGGGCATTTTTCCACTGATTTTTAGAGAGAGTGGCAGGGAGGAAGAGAGACAAGAGAAAGAGACACACAGGGGTCGGTTGCCTCCCACATGGTCCCCCGTCGGGGATCAAGCCTGCAACCGAGGCACCAGCCCACCCTTCGGTCTGTGGGCGACGCTCTGTCCGCTGAGCCAACCGGCCAGGGCTCACCTGGCGCGTCGAGTGGCACGCACTGAGGCGCCCCGCCTGGAGGTGGCTCAGACAGGGCCTCACCTGGGGGAAATGGTTCGAACTCCACCTGACCTTGTCCCTCACATGCAGGGGCAGGGCCACTTCGTTACGTACTGGACTCTGGTTGCTAAGAAACCAGCCATCAGTCAGTTCTCCCTCCAGACTCTGTTTCCAAATTGCTGGAGAGAAGATCAGGAACGCTGCCGTAGGGCAGGGTGGGGCCTCCTTCCGCCCAGGGCCACTGGACATTCATTACATCACTATCAGGCCATACAAAATTATCAGCGGAAAAATCAGCCTGCTCTATTTGGTCAAACATTTAATTAACTCACCCCTAGTGCCTTGGCAGGGCCCGACCGAATGATTTCGAGGGGCTCATACAGCCCACAGGCTGGACCTTCCCTACCCTGCTGTAGAGCCTGGTTTTCAGAGCTTACTGCCCATTGGAATTACTAGGGGCTCAGCGCACGAATTCATGCACAGGTGGGGTCCCTCAGCCTGGCCTGCGGGGATCTGGCCAAAACCGCCTCCGACATCCCCCGAGGGGTCTGGATTTCGAGGAGGAGGTTCTCGCACCGGTGGGGTCCCTCGGCCTGGCCTGCGGGTATCTGGCCGAAACCGCCTCCAACATCCCCCGAGGGGTCCGGATTTCGAGGAGGAGGTTCTCAGGTGACGCATCCCGGACTTGGGCTTTCTCCTGTCTGGTTCCGGATGCATTACCCGAGAACCACAGCTGCCCAGTCACTGCAGCTCAGCAGGCTCCCGCGTTGAGAGTCTGCCCCCTGGTGGTCATTGTGCATCATAGCTTCTGGTCGGACGGTCGCTTAGGCTTTTATAGATGTAGATCCCTAGAGGGTGAGAAGCACATGCACCGAGGAATCTCCCGCCCGCACCCCCCTCCGCCACCTGTAGTGGCCCTCCCACACCCGGCTCCCTGGGCACTGCCTCCTCTCCCCCCTGACTGTACCCTCCTGAGTCTCCTTTCTTCTTGGTCTTGGGCACTAACTCTTGGCCAGACCTTCTGTCTTCAAGAACCTCATCTCAGCCCTGGCTGGTTTGGCTCAGTGGATAGAGCGTTGGTCTGCAAACTGAAGGGTACTGGTGGAGTCGTGTGCAGGAGGCAACCAATCGATGTGTTTCTCTCACATCGCTGTTTCTCTCTGTCTTTCCCTCTCTTTTCTACTCTCTCAAAAAGAGAATCATCCAGCCCCAAATGTCCACAGTGCTGACCTGGGGAAACCTGGTCCACTGTGTACATGTCTAAGTGGTCCGGGCCCCGATGGGACCGCTGCCCTCCCGCCTCCCTGCCTGCACAGCGCCGCACACCTTCTCGTGCAAGTCCGTCTGCAGAGTAAACCAGAAGCAGGACAGAGGGTGTACGGCTTTGTCATGGTGATGGCGGCTACTAAAGGCTCTGCTGTGGGTGGGTGGGTGGGTGGGGGTGTCACCTCTTTTTTTTTTAAGTTACCAGGGCCTATGCAAGACTACGTCCAGAGATGAGGACTGAGCATGAGTGTCTTTTAATATGTTTATTGATTTTTAGAGAGAGGGAGAAAGAGCTAGAAACATCAATGAAGGAAACGGCACCATGGATCAGCTGCCTCCCGCACGCCCCCTGCTGGGGAACTGAGTCCACAATCCCAGGCATGTGCCCTGACCAGAGTTCGGCGGAGACCTCGGTGCATAGGTTGATGCTCAACCACTGAGTCACACCAGCCAGGCTGTGTTGTTCTGTTTGTTTTATAATATATTTTTATTGATGTCAGAGAGGAAGGTAGAGGGAGAGAGAGAAACATCCATGATGAGAGAGAATCATGCAT